CAGTGATTCTCAAAGTGTGAAACCCACCTCTCCCCCTGCAAAGTGTGGGTTCAACAACTAATGCATGGACAGAGAATTCCTTAGAAATGCACATTCTCAGCCCCACCCCGATGATCTGTGTGAATTGGAAGCTCCCAGAGTGGTGTTTTCTCAAGGCCCCAGGGAGATTTAGGTGCAAATCCCAGCAGAAGCACCCTTCTGTGCAAGGTCCCTTCTAAAGCCCAGCAGCTAATTTTATAGGACTGACTTCAGATTCTCTTTCTTAAAGGGCCTCCCTGGATTGTATGAGCCTCACAGCTTCCACCTAGATCCACCCCTGGTCCCAACTTTTAAATGTGCTTGTTTCCCTCATGCTGAAGTAGAGCGTGCGTTCCTGTCGTTCCTGTCGGAGCAACTAGGCGTTTGACACACATTTGATGGTATCTCTAAAATGTTTGAACTGGACAGGAAACCCCACGATCCTCTGGTTTACCCAGGGGGAGAGATTTGACTGTGCAGCAAGAAGGTAACCTCAAAGCTCCAGTCACCTGTGGCCCCACAGGTTGAATTGCCCCAGGCTCGCAGGCAGGCTGCAACCGGGCAGGCTCTGAACTTTAAAGAGGCCAGGGGAAGAGGGCTTGCTGCGAGTTTTGCGATGCCTTCAGCAGCCTGTCAGGGAGAGGGAGGTAGCATGTGGGCAGAAGCCTTCCAGCCTCCGCTGAGGTGTCCAGGTCCCCAAGTTGAAGGGCTCTGCCGGGCTTTGTCCAGGAGAATCTTTTGTGGGGAGCTGCTGCCTGAGTTCCCAACAGGAACAAGGCTGGGAGGGTTGCGAAGTAGACTTGTGGCTGCACCCTAGGGATAAAGTCCTTGGGCCCAGAGGGAGAAGCGAGGGGTTTAGATGGTGATGAAACAGGTACAAATGGGTCTTCTCTATTCTGTAACCTCTTGGTTAGTTCTTTTTCTTTTTCTTTTTCTTTTTTTTTTTTTTTAAAGATTTTATTTATTTATTTGACAGGGAGAGACAGCGAGAGAGGGAACACAAGCAGGGGGAGTGGGAGAGGGAGAAGCAGGCTTCCTGCGGAGCAGGAGCCCGACATGGGGCTCGAACCCAGGACCCTGGGATCATGACCTGAGCTGAAGGCAGATGCTTAACGACTGAGCCACCCAGGCGTCCCCCTCCTGGTTAGTTGTTATCACTAACTCTTGAAATTTTCTTCTTCTTCTTTTTTTTTTTAAAGATTTTATTTATTTATTTATTTATTTATTTGAGAGAGAGAGAGAGAGAAAGAGAGAGAGAACAAATTGGGGGGAAGTGTAGAGGGAGAGGGAGATGCAGAGCCCCGGCTGAGCAGGGAGCCCAACTGTAGGACTCGATCCCAGGAACCAAGGATCATGACCTGAGCCAAAGGCAGACGCTTAACTGACTGAGCCACCCAGGTGCCCTGAAAACTTTTTCTTGAGAATCTCTTGTTCAGAGCTGCATGGGGAGAGTTTACCTGCGAGAATGTTCTGAGCAATATTTTTTTTATCCTAGTGAACAATAGATGCCATGAAGATCCCAAATTAGTAGAATGCTACCTATATTGCAGGTCCCTTCCTATATGTAGTCATTAAAATAGCAGTCATTAAAATGACGACAGGAAAAATTGCTAAATGGCAAAGCAGAGGACCACTCATGATTTTTTTTTTTTTTAAGATTTTATTTATTTAAGAGAGAGAGAGCACTAGCAGGGGAGAGGGGCAGAGGAAGAGGGAGAAGCAGACTCCCTGCTGAGCAAGGACCTCCACCCCTCCATGTGGGGCTCTATCCCGGGACCTTGGGATCATGACCTGAGCCAAAGGCAGATGTTTAACCGACTGAGCGACCCAGGTGCTCCTTTGTTGTTGTTGTTGTTTTGTTGTTGTTGGCTTAAAAGAGTTTGCAAATTACCATGCCCAGTTCAATCTTCTTTTTAAAAATGTTGTGTAAGGAACGAACAGTGGAAATCTATACTCCAAAATGTTCACAGGGTTAACTTCTACACATAACGGGATATTAAGTGTTCATTTGTCTTTTTCCCTGTCTTTGAAATAATATATATTGAATGAGTTCTCCTTTGTCATCACAGAAAAGAAGTGCTACATCAGCAACTTCGATGGGAAGTACCATTTGTTAGTACAGCATGGCCATTTTAATGTTGCTGGATTTAAGCAAGACTCTCCAGAGTGTGTCAGTTGAGAGATTGAATATACAAATTACCAATGGCCAGACCATGAATAAACATAGAATTCTGACCCACAACCTGCAGCAACAAGTCCAGGAAACCAAACCCCTGTAACAATGGGCCCCAAATGTCCAGGACTTTGTCAGCAATGGACACCTTCCCTAATTTTTGTCCCTGCTTCCAATTTAGGACCAGGTGGAGAAAGCCAAATAGGCTTCCTTAACCGATGACACAGGATGCCCCCCTTCTAGTTAACCCATTTCCAGCCTCCACTTGGGACATACCTGAAGCCTTCCTTTTCCCCACCACAATACTCTCCTCCTACTCTGCCTGCCTTTGAGTCTTTACCAAGCATGTTTGATAGCAGCTGGCTCCCTTGATACAGTAAACTCAAGATAGATGGATAGACTCTGCTTGTTCTCCTTTGGGTAGTCTTTGTTCATTTCCTCAAAAGTGCAGCCTTTTGGAAAAAACATGTGCATTACACAAATTATTCACCATGTATGTATCATTATGCTAGATCCTGCTATGAAAAGTCCAATTCCTCATTGGAATTATGTTAGTTCTGCTACGAAAAATCCAACTCCTCATTATAGAGAAATTTTTCATCAGCCAATCATGAAATCTGAATGGTCCAGAATTATTTGGAAATGAGGGTCCAGCTCATAGTGAATAAAATAAATAACGAGCTTGAGACTATTATTAAGATTTCCAGGTAGGGAAATTAGCATCAGGTGCAGACCTTACTGGTTTTTGCAGATCCATGGGATTTTGACGCTCCCTATTTGCTAATCTCATTACCTTGAATGAAGTTGAGTTTACAGAAACATTAAGTTTGATTTAGTGGCAAATGAGCTAAAAAATAAGAAAACCCATAAAGGGCTTAATTTTGAACAGGATGCCATCAGCCATGTTGTGAGCAGTTAAACTAGAATTTTCTACTGGCTAAATTGTGTAAATGATCGTGTAACAGTTGATTGGATGGATCAAACTTCATTATCAATAGGAGTTATTTAGTGTGTTGGGCAGTTTTCATCTGAAAGAAAGCTAAGGCTAACTTCAGAAACTTTATAGGAGAAGAAGAATGCCAAACAATTTGGAAAAATGTGTTGAAATCCTGCAGAAAGAATTGAGACATGCGTGAATATGAATGAGGGATTCTGGTTATCTAACAGGGTTTCAGAAGACATCTGTGGTGAAGTGCCCTGATATGACTAAAACAAGGGTAATTTGATTCCTGTGTTAATGGGCATGTGTAGGTGGGGGTGGGGTGGGAGAGAGAAAAGTCACAAATCCAAGCCACTGAAAAGAAATGATGCTTCTATACAAACACCAAACAATTGGCTTGTTTAGTCAAAGTTGGACAATTTCGGTGTCAACATATGTTATTGATTCTGATGGCTACTTTGTATATGGTGGGTCCATGATACATGTGTAACGAATGTGTTAATTCAGTACAATAATCTGGAGATCAAATGGGATTATATGATGTCAGAAAGATTTTTCCAAATTCGAGCTGACTAATAAAATTTGCTGAATAGAGTTTTTAGGTGGGCTGCTTTTCATTATAAGTGAACACTGCATGCTTTTGCCATAACACTTGAATAAATGCTTACAAGTTTAGAATTGGGTGACATAAAAACACATTCCTGTGAGTATGGCATCCAAGAACAGTGGTGATTTATGTTGTTTTTCCACTGAATTTAAATGTTTAGTGAAGATTTTGTTGATTTTAAAGCTTACGACTTAAATCATTAAATAGTCAATGATGGAAGAAGTTGGCTTTATCACCACAGAGCGTGTTGTAGATGGACTGTATGGGCACTTCTGTCCTTGCAGTACTGAATCAGAAGGAGTAAACTGTTTTTTTTTTTTTTTTTTAAAGATTTATATATTTATTTTAGAAGGAGGTGGAGAGGGGCACAGGGAGAAGGAGAGAATCTAAAGCAGACTCCCCACTGAGTGTGGAGCCCGATGTGGGGCTCAATCTCCAGATGACCCGAGCTGATATCAGGAGTTGGACACTTAACTGACTGAGCCACCCGGGCACCCCCAGAAGGGGTATATTTAAGGTTGGGTCAGTTTCATAGGTGGGTGGTATGGTATCATGGTAGATTCATTGAAAGATCCACCTTCCCTATGACAAGGTACTTATCTTGCCCACCTCCTTTGGCAGTTATCCATGCTTCTCTAAGCAACTGTAGTTTTTGCTTTTAGAGGGTAAGGAATGATGGCAAATAATTTCCATCTTTCAGGCCAACTTTAAGCCACTGGAAATGATTAGTTGGAATCCAGTATTTAGATCTGTAAGATTGCGCCTGGGATTAGGGGGAACAAGTGTAGGATTGGCAGGCAGGAATTGGGAAACCTTGTCTTGGATCTATGGCTTTACTCTCAGAAGGCACTAAAACAAAGTTTATAGTTTAGTTCTTACTTTAATAGCTTAATTGTTTGAGTGTCTACAGATTGGAAGGGTCTACACAGGCAAGGCATGTTTGGACAGGGTTGGAAGAAAATATTCCATTGCTGGACACTGCTCGGGTGAGGAAGACTGGCCTAGTTTGAGGTTCTGCCATGGGGAAGATGGGATGCCTTGTCAACCGTCGGGGAGGTAGGAAAGTGCTTGGAAGGAATCAGAAGAGTTTGTGGGGGGCAAGTGTATATCAGAGAACTCATGTGGTCATTTTTTTTGTCAGCTCTGATTTTATCACCCTCTCTGGCAACTGTTCCAAAATTCACAGGCTTCCCAGTTCAAGGAGAGAAACGCTTTCTATCTTTCTTCTGACTCTGAAACTTTTTATTTCCCATTGTTCTCAGGGCAGTCAGGCTGGATCTTTCTTTGGAGCTCTTAAAGAAACAAAAGAATATCTGGGCAACGAAAACAAGATGCAGGTGCCTGGGAGGTGGTCCAGTGTGGATATCATTCTGGTAACTGCTAAAGGTAGAACTATATGTATTGATTTTCAAGTAGAATTAGGTGGGTGAGATCGTCTTTCAAAGTTGGCTAAAAAATGTACTTGTCCTTTCTAAGGTCTAATTAAGATCCTCTGTCAGAAACCATAAAAAGAACTGTATATAATATCACTGGGGACAATGCAAAGCATTGGCCCCTTTTGCAGCTAATAGGATGTCATGATTCAAAGAAGTTACCTTTAAAAAAAAACCCAAGGCTGAAAAATAAAAAAAGAAGCTCTTCTCATTAGATTATATCTGAGTGACCCTCCTGGTCTTATATTTGCAATGTATTTGGAGTAAAATTCATGGATCAATATGGCTTCTGAGATAGGAGGTTACATTTCATGTTGATGAGATTCAGGTTCCCTTCTGTTATGGCATTATTAATGGATGCTACTCGCTCATCCACCAGTATATACCTTTTTTACTTTCTAATCTAGAAAAGTTAGAAAGAAGAGAATATTAAGAAATACTTCTGGGTTAAACTTTTCCCCCATTTTTCCTTCCCCCCAGTGAAAGATAACTGGACCAGCAAATGGTTCCTGGCTACATATGGAGGCAATATGGGTCCAAGAAAGCTTGATGACAGAAAGCAGAGATGTAATCTATTCCAAATGGACCATCATCTGGATATTTGAAATGTCATGCTGTAAACAGTGTTCCGTTGTCTTATAAGTTGTTATGTAGGGTTGAATGCAGATGAAAGCCTAAATTTATATCATGAAGCAAAGTATAAAATGAATGTTAACCTTCTAAGTACTTCTTTTTTTCAATGTCAGATTCAGTTAACTGCCTGTCTTCTAATAGCGGTGCACCTAAAATCTTTAATGCTCTGGCCATTTGATGACCCACCCCCACCAAGGGGTAAGAAAGTTAGAATTCAAAGGAATTTTGGGACCCTTTTTCATAAAACTTATTTTATAAATCAGCTCCACCTTATTTTTAAATCAGAAAACTAAGATCTAGGGAAGCTATCTAGTCGCATAGCTCTGTAGGTAGTAGATGATCCAGGAATTTAATCTACGGGCTCCTAGGATACGATATTTTGTATGATGCTATGTTGCCTTTAAGTAAATACCTGTCTTATCCTGTAATGTTTCCATCCCTAGGAGAGGACTGATTTCACAGCGTGTCCTCATAACCAGAATAGGTATTCCAGAATGGACCATTTGGTAGTGTAGGCTTTATTCATTCAATTTTCATTCATTCATTCATTCAGATAATATTTATTTTCCTTCAGCTTTTATTGTAAAGATATACATACTCAACATAAAGAGTATCAGCAGCATCAAAATCCATATAAAGGAGTACAATTCTCCTTTTCTCCACCACATCGTGCTTCCCAGATAGTTGCTCATGAGAGCATACTGTATATCCTTTCAGACATTCTTTGATGTATAAAAATATGTTATAGTATATAATATAGCACATATGTATGCACCGGTTAAAAAATGGGGAGTACTTGGGGCGCCTGGGTGGCTCAGTCATTAAGCGTCTGCCTTCGGCTCAGGTCATGATCCCAGGGTCCTGGGATCGAGCCCCGCATCCGGCTCCCTGCTCAGCGGAGAGCCTGCTTCTCCCTGTCCCTCTGTCTGCTGCTCTGCCTATTTGTGCTCTCTCTCTGTGTTAAACAGATAAATAAAAATCTTTAAAAAAAGAAAAAAAAAAGAAAACTATTAAAAAAAAAGGGGGGGTACTATACATATTTTCTGCAACTTCCCTTTTTAACGTTTTTCACATCATAATATCACGGACACTTTGCCATGTCTTATCTAATTTGTTCCTGTTATCAAGTGTGTGTGTATATTTTTTATATATTTTTAGATACATAGCAATCCATAGTTTGCATGCTATGGATGCTTATCTCACCATTCCTCTGTTGGTGGGCATTTTATGTAGATCCTAATTTTTATGGTGAAAGGCAATGCTACAAAGAGTGTCTATTTTTGCATGTGTAAGATGCATTCCTAGAAGGGGAATTTCTGGGTCCTTCCATTCATATTTACTGAGTAACTATCATTTGCAAAGTGCTATAAAATGATTGGATGGGCTATAAAATGATATGATGCAATCTTTACAGGTAGATGGTTCCTGCTCTCATGAAGCTTGTAGATTAGGTAGCAAGAAATGTATACAAATAGCGATTTCAAGTAGAAAATCATGAGCGCTATTTGGAAAATACATAGAAACTGCCACGGGAGGGTAAAGACACCTTGACTTTCTAACCCAGCCAGTGAAAACTAACAGTTATCCGGAGATGGGGGTCTCAGTGGAAATGCACTGAACATTTCTGAATAAAGTTACTTGAATGAGCTGAAACATTTGAGAATGCGGGAGGGGACTTGGGTCTTGAAAGAGGTGTACAAATGTCCAGAAAACATAATTGGTTTTGAACTTTTAGGAAGTATCTATATTTGCAAAAGGGAGAACTGTTGCAGTCCACTAGATCATATAAGACTGAAAGAATTTTTGTTTCAAAGGTCCTTCCTCATTGTTTGATGTAACAAGGTGTTATTTTGACTCAAGCCTACCTTGCTTTAGGTTTTGGATTCACAGATGTGTGGGGTCAGCTACAGGTGGCCTTCTCTTGAATCTGGACCATTTTAATAAATCACGTATCCATCTTCAGCATAGCAGAGGTTAAGAACGAGCACTTCTATTTTTTTCTTTTTTCAGTTACGATCCTAAACCCCATTGTCGTAGGGAAGCTTCTCCTGAAACTTCAGCAGCCTTCATTAAAACATCCTCCTGCGTGGGAATCTTACAATAGGATGCAGATTTATGGGTTTTAAAAATCTCTTCAAGCATAAAATGATTTATGTGGAGATGGAGGTTATAAGCCGTGCGCTCTAACATCTTCATCTTTCCAGAGAGAAATTTGGTGGGGAAAGGTTCAGATTCTTATTATTTTGAGTATGATATTTGGCAAAAATTCCTCCAGTAAAAATCTTAGAATCCTTTTTTGCTCCATTTAGCTTCATGTCCTTGAAGTTACCTACTACATAATACAAGCTTAGCCCCCACTTGTAATACTCAGCAAGTTCAAAGTACCCATCAACACGCAGTGAAAACCCACAGGATAGTAGGGAAAGTGATCAAAAACCAGAGAAACTAACCCTAGGCAGAATAAGAGGCAATTTTCAGAAGAAAAAATTGGGGGAATCTTAAAACATTTTGATCATTCAAAGCATTTCTCAACTCCTAATAAGAGAGGGCAACACACTAAATCATTGGCAACTGGGTTAGGAGTCAGGTCCTGATTCTTCCATTGCAAGGTACAGTGGGGTGAGGCTGGGGTGTAGGACAAAGAGATTTGCATTCCTCAGAATGCAAAGCAGACAGCTGAGTTTAAATGTTCCCTTTGGTGTGTGATGTCTTCATCAGGCAGTCAGGAGGTTCCCCAGAAGCCCTGTCAGGCCTGGGTTTCCAGACAGCTTCTTCAGGAAGCACCATGGGTGGATGCCATCCATGCAAGGGTCCCTATGGTCTATTGTGAGTGATGTCTCTCAGTAAGGCCCCAGAGCCTGCATCCCACAAGCAAGAAGCAGCAAGGGAAAAACAATTTTGGCTTTCACAGGTGTCAGGACTGCAAACAAAGAACTGTTTATAAAAGAGGCAATCACCCCCTTTTTAAAGTCAGCTTGGATGGTTGAAAGCCATGCTAGGAGTTTTCAATAAGAAAAAAATTCTTTCGGGGCGCCTGGGTGGCTCAGTTGGTTGAGCAACTGCTTTCGGCTCAGGTCATGATCCTGGAGTCCCTGGATCGAGTCCCGCATCAGGCTCCCTGCTCGGCAGGGAGCCTGCTTCTGCCTCTGACCCTCCCCCCTCTCATGTGCTCTCTCTCTCTCTCATTCTCTCTGTCTCAAATAAATAAATAAAATCTTAAAAAAAAAAAAAAAGAAAAAATTCTTTCAATAAGGAAGAATTTAATAGGGATGAACACTCTTATAGATAAACCCTCTGGAAATGGGAGAGTTAACTTGTTTGTTGATTATCAGAAATATAAAAAAAGATGGATGCAGTTAGTTTTCAAGTAGATTTTACCTATCATATTGAAACATACCCTAGAGGTTTCTTTAAATTGTGATTTCTTTATTATTAAAACTAGTAACTGATGTTGGGGGCACTTGGCTACCTTAGTCAGTAGAGCATGTGACCATTGATCTCAGGATCATGAGTTCAAGCCCCACGTTGGACATGGAGCCTACTTAAACAAAAACTAGTAACTGAATCTAGTTGGTGTGGTCATGGGTTAAGACACTGTGGGTTCAGAACCAAGTGGAATCGGGTTTCAGTCTCACTTCTGCCACTCACCACATGTAAAACTAGGCATAGATGGCCTCACCTTTCTGTGCCTCAGTTTCCTTGTCTGTAAAATGAGACCCATAATAGAATCTCTTACACAGGTTAGTAGGAGTGATAAATGAGATGATTTCTAGAATGTACTAAAAAATTATTAATCATCACAACTAATACTAGTTATAATTCGTGTTGTGGTTTAAATAACAATTACATTAAAATATTACTTAGTATTAATTATGTTCCAGAATTAGAAGCTTTTAAACCATTATGACTAATTATTGTTGTTTGGTTTTAATAAAACTCCACTTTGGGGTGCCTGGGTGGCTCAGATGGTTGAGTGTCTGCCTTCGGCTCAGGTCACAAAGAGTGTCTATTTTTGCATGTGTAAGATGCATTCCTAGAAGGGGAATTTCTGGGTCCTTCCATTCGGCTTGATCTCCAGGTTCTGGGATCAAGCTCCGTATTAGGCTCCAAGGAGCCTGCCTCTCCCCCTGCTTGTGCTCTCTCTGTGTCTCTCTCTCTCAAATGAATAAATAAGATCTTAAAAAAAAAAAAACCTCCACTTCATCCACATGTTCACAAAATAAGACAATTCTTTCTCAGGTCAATAAGTAGCCACTATACATACCAAGAGATCACTGACAGTAAAAGTAATTAAATTAATTAATTTTTTAAAAAGATTTTATTTATTTATTTATTTGAGAGAGAGAGAGCACAAGCAGGGGGAGTGGCAGAGGGAGAGGGAGAAGCAGCCTCCCCACTGAGCAGGGGGCCTGACGATGTGGGGCTTGATTCCAGAACTCTGGGAACTTAACTGACTGAGCCACCCAGGCGCCCCAAAAGTAATTTAATACCTACATCATTCAATATCTCTCTGATGATGAAGATGATGAAGAGCCTGGCTCTTGGTAAGCACTTATTAAACAGATTATTTTTATTATCATAAATGCATGCTTCTCTGGTCTGCTCCCTTTCTACTTCCCCTTGCGGATGTCCCTTATAAATGTCTATGAGTCAGTTACTATGTGACTGCTTTGTTTACATGTTTAGGTTTGAGGACAGGAACTGTGTCTTCAGCACCTGAAGGGATAATTGTTCCTGGTGGGCATGAAGCATCTAGCATAGTATTTGGCACATAGTAGATGCTCCGGTAATTGAATTCCCTTTTACTGTGAAGCTGTGTTGTTGACTCATTGGATTCCTCTTCATTTGGGGAATGTGGTGATCTACATTCTCCATTAGTTTTGTGTCACACCAGGACTTCCCTTGTACATTTTATCACCCTAGTTAAGAAATCAGGATTCTTGGAAGTCAGGGGACAACACAATAGCATTAGGCCACCAAAAGCTGCACCTACCAATGGCCTCGTGGTGGTTGGGTACACAAAAATGCAAGAGGGTGGGGGCAGCAGGCACTGCCAGGCAGCTGAAGGGGCTGCTGGGGCAGGCTTTTAATTGCTTATAGTTGTGCCTTAGGTTTATTGCGTTTGAAAGGTAAATTGATCATTCGTCATTGCACATTAATGAAGTATAGAGGTGGAAAATATGGAGATGTTGAGGAAAAGTGTGCTTTGTTTTAGAGAAGGAGTTGGATTAGTTAACTAATCATTGGGCACTATTCCAAATCATAAAGGGAAAGAGGGTTGTTGACAGTCCAATTTTGATGAATATACTTGGAGTCAGTGAGATAAGAAATAAAGGAAATTAAGAGAAATTAAGGTATAAAAGAAACCCAGATGATGCCCAGTAGAAGCTGAGTACAGCCAAACCACAACCCAGAGAGAATGAGGAAGTTACTGTACAGGACTTTCGGACTTTCTTAGTCTTGATGAACACATTGACAAGTAGAGGAGGAATAGTTGAGCCTTCACACACATCCCACCCTGCACAGGTGGACCAGCAGCCTTTCTCCCATCTAGGTCCCCATCTTGTTAGCACCACCCCAGCCAATGGGACGTTCAGCTGGACTCTGACAACAGAGATGGGAAAGTGTCTACGTTCAGGAGAATCAAAGTGGGATAGAAGGAAGGTAAAGGGAGCAGGTGAAAGAAGGAAAGCTTTTCCTTCCCAGGGACCAGTCAACAACCCAGAACCTGGCTGACTCTACTCTGAATTTCCTTCCTTCATTCACTGGTCACATGACCAAAGGAAAGAAAGCACGATGGCATCTTAGTTTCATCCCCTTTATGATTATTTAAAGAATGGGAAATTCCCTGCCCTAGCTCCAGAGCCTTGTCTCTTGATTTCTTTTTCCTCTGTGACCCTCCTTCCCTCTGCTGGACATCTCTGCACACTGCCATGCCTCTCCTGCCTCCTCCAGCTGCCTCTGCCTTCCTGCCCTCCGGCTGCCTTCACCCCCTGTCCTGCCCCAGAGGAAGGAAGGCTGCTGCCACTGAGAAATGCAAGAGGGCCGCCACCCAGCAGTCTTTTCTTTTTCTCTTCTTTTCTTTTTTTAGCTTCAAGAACGTGTCTCTCTGGCCTTGGTAAGTGTGGGCAAAGGCTTTGGGAGATAGTGCGGAGAATGAGGACGGGAACGGCAACAGTTGTGGCAAGCCCACAAGCACCAGCAGGAGGGAAATGCTATTCTGCCATTTCTGGAAGCTACAGAGCATATGGAGAGCCTGGAATTGTTGTCAGCAGCCCAAATCAGGGCGGCGCCATCCTGGCGGCTTCACTCTGGCTTTAAGGAAGCATTTCAGTAAGCTCCCTTACCTGCAGTTGTCAGCGGAATTGCCCCAAGTACTGGTCCTGGGTAGTTTTCCATATTCTTGAATAAATATACCTGAGGATCATGATTAAAGGCTTCATCGTACTCCATAGTGTGAATGTACCATGTAAGTTACCGAACAGAATCCTGACTTTAAGACATTTGGTCTGTTTCCATTTTTAAGAACTGATTCTAAACAACACTATAGTGAACATCCTTTTAACATACACTTTTGTATACTTCTCTTATGACTTTGTTAGCAATGTCATTGCTAAATCAAAGAATACATGTATTTTCTAAGACTTTTGATATATAATGCCAACCTGGTCTCTAGAAAACTTAAAGTGATGACTATCTCCTTCACTTATGCAACATAGGATCTCATTTATATGTGTAGGTATATGCGTATTGATGTTTTAGCTTAAGAAATATTCTGAAAGATAAACACTACCATGTTGAGAATGTCTATTTCTGGTACTAGGATTTTAGGAATATTTGGGGAGGAGGGGGAGAGACATTATTTTCTATTTTTCTACAATGAACGCTTACTACGTTTGTATTTAGAAACCTAATTCTATCATTCTCTCTAAGGCTGGAAGTCTAGAAGTGAAAATAATATCCTAATGAATCTTAATTGATTCGTATTTATTTTCTCTAGACCCACAGACTGTCAGGGCTCTAAGGGATCTTGAAGTTCACCTGGTCTCACCCCAACCATGTACTTACTGATGTGGAAATTGAGTCTCCAGGATATGGCTGGAGCTACCCCAAGGCAAAACCATTCTCTAGAGGCCAAGAACATTCCTGACTGTTTGTTGACCAAGCATGTTTCCATATTCTTCCTCCGGCTATTAAAAAAAGAAAATCTAATTTGCTTTTATTTATTTCCTCTTACATTTTAAAATTATTCCTACTAGCTAATGATTAACTTACCAAAGCACTGCTCCAGTGCTTTTGGAGATCCAGAACAGAGTTCTTAGCTTTGCCTAAAAGAAGATGTAGATTCCATCTGATTTAATACATGCTCATTTAAAACACTGGGCAATAAGAGCTGGAAGAAGAGCATGAACGAAGACTCAGAAGACAGACCACTACCATTTCACTACTGGTGTTGCCTATTCTCTTCCTTGCCTTCTCAAAAAAAAAAAAATTGCTTTTTAATTTTCCAGTATCTCTCCTGTTCTTTGTTATGTGTCCTTAAATTAAAAAAAAAAAACCACAAAACTTCAAATTGCCCACTTAAGGCAATCATTTTAGACCACAGAAAACCATCTCTAAGTCTTCAGAATACTCAAATAAGCTTGATACCGTTTAATGGGAATGGGGATGGGTCAAACTGCTACTTCCCAGGAGGACAGATGTGTAAGCAGGGGAGTTCTGCTAACTGCTGACACTGCATGACACAGAGATAGAGCATTCAAGCTATTTAAAGAATTTTGATAGAGATGTTAAAAATGGGAGGAACCCCAATACTGAATTCCGCAGTGCCTAAACATTTGGGAAGTCGATGTCCCCAACCAGGCTCTATTTTCTTGCAAACTGTAAAAGCAACATTGGAGTCTATTGTATTTGCTGTATTTCCATTTGACCAAAAAATATAGCAGGATCCTGGAAATACAAGTCCTTCCTCTTAATGGGTTGTTAGCTGGGCTATGAGAAGCCAGGCCACTGAGCATTTGACTTCAGTTCAATTCACCTATGACCCCAGAGGAATCCTGACTAGATGGGGAGGGTGGGTCTGGGGGTTGTTGTGACTTTTCCCAACATGTCGCACAATATGCTCAATTGGTCATGGGACAGGTTGTGTTTGGATGGGCATTGGTCCCCGTCTTTCTGTCTATATATATGTGTGTGTGTGTGTGTGTGTGCACACGTGTGTGTATACACATATTTACATAAAAATAATATGGTATAATATAAATGGCATAACAAAAATCAATTAAAAATATATATATATATGCACAGAGAGAGAGAGGTTTTCTTTCTATATGGAGAGCTTCTCTTCATATAGTAGCTTCCTGAAAAATCAATGTAATATAATAGGAGGAAAAATAGTGAAATCTTTCCTTTCTTGTAGTTGATGCAGGTTGGAAAATAATGCTACTTAGATTAAGAGAAGAAAAATTGTCATTTTGGGGAAAAATAAGTAGGAGGTCTGCTGGATCCTCAGATATGAAAACTCCCCATTGTCACCTCCACTTGCTTTTGTTCGTCATCCTGTGCCTGATTGCATGTTATCACCTTCAAGAGAACAGCTGGGTCACTGTGAAAGGGTGTTAATCTCCCAGTGGCTTCCCTAACACCTTATTGACAGCTCAAGTCAGGGTGGCCTATTTTGGCTTTGGTGAATCTGACTTGTCAAAATTCCTTTTCAACTTTATATTCATTTAAAAAATATGGCCTCTGCAATTTCCCGAGCCAGATATGTAATGATAACTATTTTAAATGACCCAGCAGAGTTGCACAATAGCTCTCCCATTCCTGGGAGGCATTCTGCTCGGCAGCAAACTCCTACCTGCATGCATCAGCCAAGCCTGGGGTCTGTCTCCAGAGAGAAACTAACATACAACTAATGAGTTATAGACAGTTCTATGCATTGCACAGAGGAACTCCAGTTCTCTGCTGATTTGAAGATTTTTAGTGTTATTTCCTGTACTTGTTAGCTGGAGTGGAGGGAGTACAGTCAGGTCCAGATTCTCTGTTGTACTCCTGCCTGGCCTTCAGCCTGCCCTATGCTGGGCCTGCCCCTGATCAGAACCCATCAATCTAACAGCAAACCCTGATTGAGTGTCCGCCCATTTGATGAACATCTGGTGTAAGCAAGTATGCTGGAATAGGAGTGAGATTTCAGCGAAGTCCCAGGAAAGCTGGGACAAGTCGGTCATCCTACAGGAAAGCCAGAATGAAAAGGAGGGTTGTGGCCAGCCTGGAGA